AATAATAAGTTCAAATTAAATTGTAAAAAGAAAACACCTTAAATAAAGTTTAGGCTTAAAAAGTATTTTATATGTAATTAAAGATTGAAATTCCAATTGCACCACCCAAAAAAAAAAAAAAAAAAAAAATGAAATTCCAAAACTAATAGGGAATTATACGTTGTAAAATCATGAGATTTTTTATACTAGGTTTTACAAGTGCTTGCTTATAAACCTTTTTGTGGATTATATTATATTAGAGAAAATTTTGCAATATTAAAATAAAATTATGTTGATTACTCCTTGTTAACGACAATATTTTTCATACGAGTCATGAGTGGACACCTTTAAGAAAGACATCATGAAGATATGAAAACCTTTTCTTATGCTAAAATGTGGCGCACCCATTTTTTCATCTTACTTTATTTTTCCTTTTCAAAATTACGTGTGATTAAAAAAGTCATTACTCTTCTTTCAAAAAAAAAAAAAAAAGTCATTACTCTAATGCTTTGGATATTTTGGTCCTTTTGCTTTCCTCTAACATTATGGAAAAAGAATTTGGTTCTTTCTCCTTTTCAATTCATTTTGAAACATGTTTAAGAATGAATGAGCCAATTTGAATTTGGAATAAGGTAGTGGAAATTTAATGAGGTTTGTTAGTTGTAATTTTATTAGGTTTTTCACTTCTCTCTTTTTTTTTTTTTTTTTTTTTTTTTTTTTTTTTTTTTTTTGGCATTGTAACAAGGATTCTTCATAAAATATATCTTTGGTTAAATAATTTATTTTTTATTTGTGTTTTTGATATATTATTTTAAGTTGTATTTATAGAAATCTATAAATTAAAGTCTATAATGGTTTATTAAAGTAAGGTTAATGACATAAGACAAAATCATTCTCTTGCATGATTCAACCTATATATTTTAAAACCTTATTTTAAGGAAACCTTTATGATTTGCCTCCTATTTCAATTGGCTTATTTGTCATGAACTTTAGCTAGGATTTGTTTTCACTCAAAAGAAATCAAGCACTAGTAAGGGAATTTGATCCTTCTTTAAAGAAATTCAAATTTAGTTGGTTCTTAATTTTCAATAATATAGAACTAAAATGTCATATCATTATGATTTGTTTAGTACGCTCAAATAAATGGAGGCCATGTAATGCTAATGACTTCATATATGGTTATGCACCCAAAAAAGACTCGTGTCAATTTCCGTTGTAGTGAAGGTACATCCCCATATATGCTATTGTAATTAAAAAAAAAAAATCAATTACGTACTATCCAATATTGTCTTGCCTTGCCTTGAGTTGTAATGAAAATTATGGTGCAAAACGCATGTGTGAGATGAACTTCATTCTATTACGCTTAGGCATTTGAAAGAAACTTTCTTAAGAATTTTACATATAAATTGGAGTATGATAGCTTGAGTTTTGGAGAGATAGAGATCAAACCCTTGAATTAAATTTTGTTAAGATGTGAAAAAAAATGACAATATGTTGAACGAGAAAATCCAATGAAAAAGGAGAAAACAATGAATTGACGATAACGTATCAAAATCACCATCCACACTAGGTTTGAAGTTTGAGTTGCATTGTAAAATACTATGCATACTGTAGGCGTCTTTCGAAGCTCGCCTACCTAAGCATGTGGTGAATATACTTGGCAAGCATAGGAAGTGAGAATTGACATTATACGATTAGGGACAAGAAAGTAGGGAGTCGCCAATAAATTTTTAAGGAACTTGTAAACCGTCCACGTATCATTATAAGCTAAGGCAACCACGATTAAGGGACAACATAACAATAGGTAACAATGATTGACCCATGAAGTTTATACCCAATTCATAATCCATGAGATTACTAACCTCATATGGTTCAGAACCACAAAAGGAGGGTCGGAAATGATGGTACGAAGTGAGTCATTTGTCCATATTGGCCTCTACCCGATTCTTATTGTGAAAATGACTTCTTGCAATCTCAAAGGCATACAAACAAAAATTTAATTTGCTCCAAACTATTATTAAGCTAAATTGATTGAATGTTAATACAACATATAATTCTAAAATATTATGATCACTTGATTAACACCACAAGATTAAAAAGGAATCTAAACCGGTTGTCCAAATGATCTAATTAAGCGCGACATTCAATTACATATTCCCCTTAAACATGCAATATAATGACCATAAATATAATAAAAAGCAACATAAACATAAACATTTGAAGTAATTTAACCGTAATAACAACCATTAATAAGTGACAAACACACTAAAAATCGTTAGAAATATAATATGAACAAAAGGAACATGATTCATTACTTTGATTGCGTTTGCTTGCAACTATAAAATAATAAACGCGTTAGTAGCTTCAAGGAAAATAAATAATTAAATTGAAATTAATTCAAATGAAAGTAAAGTTGATGATTTGGGGCCAAACCCTCAAATAATTCTACCTTTCACGCCTTGGTTTAAGCGTAGAGCTGTGGGTAGAGTACGGACTCCATAAAGTGCTTAAGGGATGCATGTATTGTGAGAGAATAGGGAAGACTATATTTAGGCTAAAGTATAAGAGAAAGAGAATTATTTGGTGCCCTGAAATCGAGAAATCAACCTTGTATTTAAAGAGAAAATGTGAGGGATGAGGTACGATACCCTGGAAACGAGGTGCCACGAAGATACAAACCCTAAAAATTGGCATGTCAAGAAAAAATTTGTCGTTGCGCTGTAATTTCCCGTTTTTACGTTTTTAAAAAAACTATGATAACTTTTGATCAGTAAGTCGGAATAAGGAATATAATATATAGTTGGAAAGATCTTAAAGTCTACTTTTCAACCCAATTAGAATCAGATCAAAATATTTTTTGTAGATTTTAAGATATGGCCGTTTTAGTAAAAGGGTGTCAATTTTGAGGAAATGGGCTAAGAATTAGGTTGGTTTATGGAATTTATTAAATTGAAAATGAATTTAAGCACTTCAAAGATTATATACTCAACCCGACCAATAATGGCAGTGAAATGTTGTTCATCATCAGGTTTGGTTTTGGAGAAACATATTTAGGTGTCTATACTACATATGTACTCAATCTTCATGTGCCAATTAAGTAAATTGATACAGATGACTTCTTTAGGATTTCAGTAGCTATCTTAATTTTTTTTTTAAATGTTATACTTATTTGCTTATTGTATAATTTTCAATGCAATAATACAATTATAATAAACTGTTAAAGTTATTAGATTTTTTAAAAACTATTGCCAAAGTGTATGTGGCAGTTAAATTGAAACAGAATGAATGAAAAGTAGATAATGCGCTGAAAATTCGATCAATGTAATTATGTAAATAAAAAAATATTAGGATAAACTGAGAATAAGTACCTAGACAAAGGGTATAAATGGTTAAAGACGATGCAGATAATGCAAATTAAGCTAGCGTGGCAACTGACAAAAAAAAAGTTATAATTTTTCTTCTTTTATTTAATTACTAGATGTAAGCCCGTGCGATGCACGATTTTTAAATATTTCATTTTGTATATTTTTTTAGTAATTTCTTAATATATTTTGTTTTTATTTTCTATTCTATTATTTTAACATTAATTTAAGGTAAAATATTTTGTTAAGTTTTAAATTATTCTTATTCAAATTTTACTTATATAGAACTTGAATATATAAATTGAAATAAATATTATCTCATTCATCAGATAGTTAGATAAAATCATTAAATCAAAATATATTTTTTAATTTCTAATTATTTGTTAAAATAATATAAATCCTTACGTAAAAGATAATATAAAATATAATTTTTGTTTTTTTTTCATAATTTAAATATTAAATTACTATTTTTTATTTTCAATTCTCAAATTTCATTTGTTGATTTTTTCTTAAATGACGACTGAAAATTAAAATTCTAAATTAATCATAAATCTAATTTTTCATTGGTCGAAATATTACTTTTGCTTATGTAGCGTGCGATGCACGAATTTTTATATACATTTTGTATATAAATTTTTTTTTGGTGATCTATTATTTTTTTTCTTGCATTATAAGTTTTAAAATTTTGTATGAAATTATCATATCATCAGATATTTACATAAAACCATTAACATCAAATGATAGTTTATATTTTTTAAATATCAAAATATAATTTTTAGTTTTTTTAAATAATATAAATCCTAATATCTAAAGATAATTTTTAGTTTTGTAACAAATAAAAATGATAAAATTTAGTGTTCTTAAATAATTAAAATCCTAATAAATTACTATTCGTCATTTTTACCTACGAGACAAAAATTTAAAATTTCATTTGTCACTTTTGTTTAGGTGGCGAGTGATTTTTTAATTCTAAAATAAAATAAAAATCTAATTTTTGATTGGTCGAAAATATACCTATTCTTATGTGGCGCTCCCAATGCTCTCCAAAAAGGCTTACTTTATTTATATATATATTAGATTACTACTATAACAATGAAGATTTTTTCCTCATAAAAAAAAAATGAAGATTTCAAGCATCCATCATTTTTTTTTACTCAAGTTTAGTGGAGGTGATGAATAGGAGATTAAATCATCATATTAAGGTGGAGTGTATCGTATTAGGGTTAGTTGATGTCAAATGTTTCGGTTATGAATTATTCTAGTTGGTTTCAACTAGATGACTTTCAATTACATTATTGCTAATTATTTGTATTTTGTAGTGTAATTAAATACGGAATAATCAACATTAGACAAATTACTTTTCAAATCAAATCTTAGTCAAATCAACTTTGATTCATATCAAAGTTAAGTCATTTAATTTCAAAAACTCTATTAATAAGGATATTTTTTTAATTATTTGTTCCTAATTAATTGCTATACTTTGATACTCCGCATTATTTATGTCTTCCACTAATCACACTAACACAGTTACAGTATATTCTACTCCGTAGTATTCAATTCAATTTCGATTCATATCAAAGTCAAGTAATCTAATAATTAAACTACTGGATACCAAAATGTACAGTTACAACACACATTTTTTTTACAGTATTTAAAAAATATAACAACTTGTATTGTTCTCGTCTTTGCACATCATAATGTTTCAATTAATTAGAGACAGAGAGAGTACGATTTAGAAAGAGGTTAGAATAGCAAAGTCATAGACTTTATAATAATCCTACGTACTGAAAGAAAATTTGGTAAAAGAAAAAGAGAAAAACCAAAACCAACCAAAAAGACTAAAAAGGACATCCTCTCTTCCAACCCCCATCATTCCATTATTCCATCAATTCAAACAAACCCCCTTTCTCCTCTTCTAGTCTTCTTCTTCTTCACTCATCCATCTCTTATTACCCACCCAACTCACCTCCTCATTTTCTCTCTCCTCCCCCCCCCAAACAAAAAACCATGGAAATCACTTCAAAATTCAAGGAGAGAGAAAATTACTCATCCCCTTTAAACTCACCCACTAGTTGCAGCACCAACATCAACAATCCACCTTCTTCTCCATTACCCATTACCAGATCCGACCCGAATAGCCCTTACCCAACGACATTCGTAACCGCTGATACTTCTTCCTTCAAACAAGTTGTCCAAATGCTAACCGGATCCTCTGAAAACCACCCATCTAATAAACCATCCAACCCAAAACCGCTTTCCACCCATGAAAACCACTCTAAAAACTATGTAATACCACCCATTAAAACCGCCCCTAAGAAACAGGGGTTCAAACTTTACGAAAGAAGAAACAGTATCAAGAACTTAATCAGCCCATTAAACGCAGCGTCTGGGAATTTTTCAAATCAAAACTCGTCGTTTTCGCCGAGGTATAAGCAGGAGATTTTGTCGCCGAGTTTGCTCGATTTTCCGTCGCTAACTTTGAGCCCTGTTACACCATTGGTCGACGACATCGGCGGCGGCGGAGTTATCGACGGCGGTGGCGGTCGGAGTTCGTCGGCGACGGCTGAAGAAGAAGAAAAAGCGATGGCCGAAAAAGGGTATTATTTACACCCTTCTCCCATTTCTACCCCTCGAGATTCACAGCCTCAGTTACTCCCTCTTTTCCCTCTTTCTTCTCCTCGGGTTTCTGACCCTTGATTTTATTTTATATAAATAGTAATAATAATTTTGATTTTTAATAATTATTAAAAATAAAAAAAAAAAGGAAAAAAAAATGAGGGATGATTGAATTTGGGGTAACAGAGAAAATGAATGATGATGATGATTTAAGATGTGTAGCAATTTGTATAACTTTGATACTCAATTCAAATGTATGGTGTTGGTGGGTGTTATTTGAGGTGAAATGTGGGTTTTAATTAGTTTGTTATCATATCAAATATGAATATAAGTAATGTTATATTATTATTATAACGTCTATTAATGAGCCGAGCTGAGCCGAGTTTAAATCGAGTTTTTTTTTTAGTGTGAATTAGTTCGATAATAATAGTAGTAGTATTAATACATGTATTGTAAATTTTGATTCAAATTGTACAATGTGAATGTATCTAATTGTTGAATTTCATAAACTTTGTGATCATAGTTTAATTAGTAGTTCTAATATGTTATTAGAGTATTAGCATCAATAGGTACTATTACAGTATTACTAGCTAGAATCTTTGAATTTGTGTTGAGGGTAATATGGTAAAAGAATGTAGGGAATGAAGTTTGATATTCGACTATAAAATTTAATAAACAGTTGGAATCTTACTGTGTCGAATTGTCAATGTGTTATGAAGGTGGTAAGTTTTACTTGGTATTATTCTTAGACAATGTAAATCATTCTCCATTTGGTGAATCCCAACTTTAGATAAATCATCACCTTTTTTCTTTCCCTTTCTTTTTGTTTGTTTTGGTAGTAGTGTTGGTCGAAAAATTATTGTAGGGTCCCGAATCATTGCTACTGCTACTGGTTTAACTTAAATTTATCGGTCAATATTCTCTAATTTCTTTGTACAAGAAAATTAATATTCCTACTATATCGTGTACTAGTATATGGTTGATTTTGGTAGACTAGGAGTTTTTTTTTGGTCAATTGATTACTTATGTTATACCATTAATAAGAAGGCAATCAATATGTTTACTAACAATATACTAACTACTACAACCTAATATGACATTGTACAACACTAGTAGTCAAACATGATATAATGCATATCTAATAGAATCCAAAAAATATTTAAGTAGTTGTATATTTATCCATCCAACGTAAATGTTATATAGTACAAGAGAATTTTACTACTAACACTTGATGATTTCACAACCAATATAAAGTGGCCAAAACAACACAAAATGACAAATCTTAGTGTTTGGGTCCAATTTAGTCCAATTGGGCTTAGGCATTAAATGATCCAATTAAAAGCCCAAGGTCAAGGTTCATCTCTCCAATTGTGCTAAAGTCAAAGATCAATCCTCAAGGCAAACCAATTGGGCTAAGGCCCAACTTCTCCATGTATGAAGAGGTATAAAAGCCATCAATATTACATTTTTACATTCATTCAAGCAAAACCTCAAGCAACTAATTCTCTTGCATAGTGTTCTCTTTCTACACATTGTACTGACTTTAGCATCGGAGGGGCCTTCCTCGGCAACACCCCCGAGGCTAGTTTACGTGTGTTTACTGTGCAGGAAACCTTCGGCTCAACATTACTTGGATCGAATCTAGTCTTCCCCGCTTCATCGGACCTTCGGCAAGGTCCCATTGTTTTCACCCGAAACATTTGGCGCCGTCTGTGGGGAGGACTTTCAAAAATCTTTAAGCCAAATTTCTAACCAAGATCATCTTGCAATTATCTTAGTAGCAATGGCTAAGAACCGCAAGAGCAAAGGCCTCCGTCAAGGAGCGAGCGAAAAGGCTAAAACCCCTACACCATCACCCTCGCCGGACCGGAACTCTCCCAAGGGTGCCAGCTCGGGGGGAGGATCATCATAGGCCGAGTCACTCTCGGTCTAGCAGGGGTGAGTCCAATCATAGGACACATTCAGTGCCCCAAAGCCAACCATCGACTGTGCGCCCTCATTCCCATACTCGGCCGAGGACCCCTTTGACGGGGCCCAGCTCGGAGGAGGTGGCAAGAGCGCTGGCAGTGCTCATGGAGGCGATGAGGGCACAAAATATGCCACCACCTCGTGATCGAACTCCTCCGCATACCCGGCATCAGCGGAGGAAGCTAGATCATGATGGTGGGAAGCTTCCTTCCTTCCGGGAACTGGAAGAGTGGGAAGAGGATACCTGGAAAAATGAAAAAGAGAGGAAAAAGAACCCTCAATTTTTAAAAGGATCCTCATCCTCCCGACCAGAAACGCATAAGAGCAGCAGCTCAGCTTCTCGGCCAGAATCTACTCACCGAGAACCTGAGACTGTTCGCCGAAGCGTCCTCGACCGACTCGGCGGCAAGGAACCGAGCGTGCGCAGTCGCCTCTCGTTCCCTGCGGCCGAGGCCCAGACTTCCCAGCCAGGGACGAAAACCACTCCTACCTCTCTAAGAGGGCGGAGCGCGGTCCCTTCGGCCAGGAACAAGGGCAAGGCCGTTATGCTACCCGCCAGTTCGCCATTCGAGCAATGGATACTGGAAGAGCACGTGCCCACAGTTAAAATACCGTCGCACATCACATATGACGGGACTTCGGATCCGAAGGATCACGTGGCCTCGTATGAGACTCATATGCATCTTTGCCCTAGATCCGAAGCGACTTGGTGCAAATATTTCCCAACCACTCTCAAGGGGGTCGCGCAAGCGTGGATCTCCAAGGGAGTAAAGCAAGGCTCCATAACAGGGTGGGATGATCTGTCCTCCAAATTTAGGAGCAAGTTTTCCACGGCAAACCGCCGAGAGAAGACTACTGCAGAACTCATGAGTCTGCAACAGGGGGAAACCGAAAGCCTCCGAGACTATCTGACCCGTTTCAGTAACGAGTCATCCAGCGTCTCTCAGCTGGACCAGGGGCTAGCCGTTTTTGCAATGCAGAATGACCTTCAGCCCGGGAAGTTCCTAGACTTCATGGTCATGCATACCCCGCAGACCTTGGAGGAAGCTCTGAATGCCTCGGATAAGTTCATCCGAGCCGAAGAATGGAACAAAGCGAAAACCCAACCTCAATTCGGGGGAGGGAAACAAAGACAAATACCCTTGTCTGAAGGCCAAGGCCATAAGGCAAAGGGAAAGTCAAAGGCCTCTGAGCAATCTTCGGCCAGCGACCCAAAGAAGGAAAAATCTACCTCATACACAGGCAGATACGAGTCCTACACTCCGCTCTCTCTTCCACGCGTCAAAATTTACAGCGTGACGAAGGAGGAGCAGAGTTACCGAAAGCCGAGACCACTCCCAGAGTGGTATCAGCGGAAAAATAAAAATCAGTGGTGCGAGTTCCACGAGTCTCCGGGACACAACACTGAGGAGTGTATCCAACTGAAGGACCAGATAGAGGACATGGTCCGGAAGGGATACTTGAAAAAATACATCGCGGATCACCGCGAGAAAAAAGAATCCGAGAAGTCAGCAAAGGACTCTTGGCAAGACCTCGACTTCCCCCGGAAGAACAGTAAAAAGCCGGAGGGGAAATTCTCTCCGATCAATGTTATCTCGGGAGGAATATGCTCTCGGAGGGAGCACAAGCGACACCTTAGGGATTTGGCTCCAGGTGAACAACGCTGACATTCAGTCTCCCCAGTCGCCGGTGCCGAACATGACGTTCACAGCCGCCGACTGCCGGGGGATAACGTTCCCTCACGAGGATCCGTTGGTGATCATCGCCACGGTGGCCAACCACGACGTCAGTAAGGTCCTTGTTGACGGTGGCAGCGGAGCAAACATTCTGTTCCGAAAGGCCTACAATCAAATCAAGCTGAAGCCCAAGCACCTTACGCCGGTACCCTACCCGGTATCCGGGTTCAACGGGGCTTCAACTTATCCAGATGGGAAGGTGACACTTCCTATCACCATCGGCTGCGATGAGGCAGCCAGGAACGTCATGATTGAATTTTTGGTCATTGACGCTCCTTCAGTGTACAACGTGATTTTGGGGAGACCCATAATTCATGAGATCCAAGGGGTCGTTTCAACTTATCATCAGCTGATGATTTACGTCTCAGACGCCGGCTTCCCCGAAAGGATACAGGGCAACCAAAAGGACGCCCGAAGGTGCAACTACCTCAAGCCATCCAGTAGTCGCCCAGATGACGACAAGGATGAGGAGGAGAAAGAAAAAGAAAGAGAGCCAAGCACAAAAAGCCGAAAGGCCTAAGTGCTTCGGCCCAAGGATCTGTACCCAGAGGTAAAGGGCCCGAAAGGGAAAAGGCTAGCTCTTCAGCTGAACCGCAAGACTCAGAGAGCCAGCCGAAGAACAAAAAGACTGGGACACCTGCTGACATAGGCAGCAGGCCAGATTATGAAGAGTCCAGTCCATCAGCAATGGACATGGACCAACAGACTGAAACAGTTGAGTTGGCCGAAGGAGACGTTGAGAAATGTGTAACAATCGGGATGGACCTTGATCCGAACACCCGTTGTGAACTTATTTAGCTCCTTCAGGACAACAGAGATGTGTTTGCTTTCTCGGCAACTGATATGCCCGGGATAAGTCCAGACCTCATCTCCCATAAGCTTAATGTTGACCCAACGTGTCGACCAATTAAGCAAAACAAGCGGAATTACTCCGCTAATAAGAACCGAGACATCGCAGCCGAGGTCAAAAAATTGCTGGAGGCGGGCTTCATCGATCCTTGCCAATATCTAGAATGGCTGGCAAATGTGGTGATGGTTCAGAAGGCCAATGGTACCTGGAGGATGTGCGTTGACTTCACGGACCTAAATAAGGCTTGTCCGAAGGATTTCTATCCCTTGCCGAGGATCGATCAGCTAGTCGATTCGACAAGTGGCCATGCCTTGCTTAGTTTCATGGACGCATTCTCGAGGTATCATCAGATCTTCATGCACCCCGACGATCGAGCAAAGACAATATTCGTCACGAACGCTGGGGTGTACAATTACAAAATGATGCCCTTCGGATTGAAAAATGCGGGGGCAACCTATCAAAGGCTGGTGGATCAAGTTTTTGCCGATCAAAAGGGCCGAAACATGGAAGTCTATGTCGACGATTCGATCGTCAAAAGCAAAAAACCTGAGGACCATGTTAAGGACCTGGCTGAAACTTTCGCCACCTTAAGAAAGCATCAAATGAAGCTGAATCCGAAGAAGTGCGTCTTCGGCGTCAAGTCAGGGAAATTCCTTGGGTTCATAGTCAGCAAAAGGGGGATTGATGCCAATCCCTCCAAAGTTAAAGCGACGCTCGACCTTCCTGAGCCGAAAACAAAGCGGGATGTTCAGCGGCTCACCGGAAGAATGGCAGTCCTCTCGAGGTTCATTTCCAGAGCTTCGGATAAGGGGTTACCTTTCTTCAAAGCCCTGAAACTC